GGCCGGACGCAGCGGCGCTCAGTCTTTGCGTATCACGAATCGACAATAAATGTAGTGCAACTCATCAGTTACAAAATAATTACGCTTGGGGAAGTGTCCAGATAAATTTGATATCTGCGCAAACTTTTATATGGCTGCTGAATTCCTCCCAACTAAGCCATCTTCCAAGGGATGTTTCATTCGTGACCGAAGTACGGTATCTACCACTTTGATTGTACTGGAAGAATACGGTAGGCCAAGAATGTGATGTAGGATTTGAACACGAGCGAACTATGTGGTCGAGCAGTTGCTGTTAAGGCCGCATGATAATTCTCAAATAAAATGTCCAGGACCATTTTTTCTGAACATAGCCTACCGTTCATCACTGGAAGAATATCTCAATTACCCATTTCTTTGCTTACGAGAGGAAATTCCCTAAGATTGGATAGAATTAATGCAAAAGACGGCTGCCACAGTCGTACTTCCGTATCACGTAACGGACATATCGAAAAAGGCTTGAGCAGAGTTCAGTCAAGACCACAAATCAGTGCTTTATTGGCAATCAGCATCATAGAAAGTCAGTACAAACACCAACATTTTTTAACACCCGAGGAAATAAAGATCACTTAAGCAATGTAAGTCGATAAATGAGAGAGCGAGATATGGCATACATAACAATAGTAATGGACAATTTCAAGGTTGACTGCATCGTCCTCGCAGTGCAATGGGCAGCATATAATGGTCATCGATTGTGCACCATATCCGCTGGATTTTCCGTGCGGTGACGGTCAGGAGGCAAGAAATTGCTGTGACATGTGTCATTTCATCTCGGACCTCAATCAAATCTCAAGGTGTAGTGCAAGTCGGCGAAAGAGGGGGGAGCAACGGGGCACGAATGTCTTAAAAATTAGACAAATGGAGGTACGATATGGCAACCAGTAAAACAGATGAACTACTAGTAGTCTGCTCTATACGAAAAAACAGGCACCAAGTGAGAAGATCAACTGGTCGTGGTGTCTTCATCAAAAAGCAAATCTTTTTGCAATGGGTAATCCCATGCATGACGGTAATACGGGAATGGGTTCGTAAACATCTCGGTAGGATACACAACTTCAGTCAGGAACAGGCCTTGTGGAGGAGCTACTGGAATTCGCAACCCGTAGAAATTTTGGCTATCTGGATTGTTGAGAAGCCACTTTACAGTTTCTACGCTTAGACGATCGTAGCCGCAAAAAACCACACACGACATCATGCGACGGATCTGCAAAAAATAATCATGATACCCAACGAAATAACCAAATCTTCAAAAGTCATATACTTGATTACAATATTATAGTAAAACATCAGCGATAACGAAAATTCAATGATTATAGCGATAATAATCACCTGCTCCCGAACGTATGATCGCGCCACTACGGTGACATTGTAATAATCATAGATATCGTTATCCATCGTATATGGTGCGCCTAAACTTACTTCGATGTAAGAACAAGGATTATCAATCAAATTAAGCCCTACCTTTTGAAATTTGACAGCATAGGATGTTCCTTACAGCACTGGGAGGGCTTCGTTCTTTACGTTTATCTCGAGCAGTATGCTTGTAGAATGAGCCCATAACATGCTCTCCTAAAAAAGAAACGCAAGATAAACAGTCTTGG